ATATAGTGAACAAATGAGTGAATCTATGAATAAAGGTAGAAAACTGAGCTTCAAAAGCTCATCTAATCTCACACCATTAATAAAAAGCTATAAAAATCAATTTTCCCCCATTTTGACAGAACAGTATAGTGAACTACAGTAAAACTTTCTGGGATTAATACTGATTTAATCCTTTCTGGTTAAAAATGCCCAAATATCTAAAAGAGAAAGTACACACTAGACTATGACAGCACTTCACTTAATTAAAACAAAATTAACCATAGGCTAGCTACTTACATTTATGCAGAGCAACACATAATAAGATCAGAAAGTTTCACACAAAACATTCTGCACTGATTTGCCTCTCCAGCCTTTTAATATGTTGAGACAGTGTCCTACTAAATCACCCAGGGTCTCACTAAATTGTGTGGGTGGTTCAAACTTGTAACAGACCTTCATTAGCCTCCTATGGTGGTGGTCTTGCAAATGTGTGAGATCATATCCAGACATGTTCGTTCTTGTTCTTAATCTCTCAATCTCTCAATCTCTCTCTCTCTGTCTCAAAGTTTATTCATGTTTTACTTAAGCAATACAAAAATTTTTAAAGTCAAGTCTTTAAACTCGTTCCTCAGAGACAACCAGGGATAGCAATGTATTTTGTAATATTAAAGGTTTTCTATTTGCATAATCAGATGGATACATTTTAAGTAAAATGACAAGAATTCTAAAAAATGTAGTATATGTACTTTGCCTTATTTTTCCCAATAAGTACAACTAGAATTCTACAATGTAAAAGATAAATAAGATACCAAAAGATGGATAAAAACAGAACTTCAGACATGCTAGCAAGTTACCTGGTTTTGGTTTTGTCTCATATAAATCAAATCTGGATCGAAAATTTCAGTAACCTAAAAACACAATGAATAAAACAAAACAGCCTAACAAAGCCTGGGGTTTTTTTAACCAAAGGACCAGGAAAGGTAACACAGAAAACTTTTGGGCAGTAATTATTGCATGAGAATCTTTTTTTTTTTTTTTTTTTCCCCTGGTACCGAGGATTGAACTCAGGATACTGCGCTTGCCAGACAAGCATTTATTCTGTTATCTCCCAGCCCCAGGGCAGTAATTATTATACTCCCAAGCAAACACTTAAGAAACTGTAGCAGGACTCACCTCTGCAAAAAACTAGACTTCTATTCATAACAGGTTGTGAGGAACTATCCAAACTCCCCCAACCCGCACAAATGATTATTGTCAGAGAAATCCAAACAAAGAGCTACAATTTTCATGCCCACCAGATGGTAATAAACCATCACCACTAACCCAGTATACCACAGCAGAACATGTAGGGAGCAGTAACAAAGCATTCCCACTCCTAGTCAGGAGGCTTCCATGGAGGTCTTATGAAAAAACCTAGAATATCTACCCTACATTGGCAAATTATGAGGAGCACTGCCTTATGCCTCAGCAAAGACCAAAAGAGGAAGATGGATTTCCATCCCACATGGCCATAAGAAGATGGCACATCCTCCCATTCAGAAGGTTTAAAGAAGAGTCAATCCTAAAATGTAACAGCAACAATGTCTGGGTTTCAACTGAAAAACAATGACTCATCACACCAACAACCAGGGAAATGTGAAACTAAATGAAAAAGACTATCAATAGATGCCAAAACTAAGACAACAGAGATGTATTTTACAACTAAAAAATAAAAATTCAAAAAGTTAAGAGATTATGCTACTTTTTCACTTAATGCATAGTAAAAAGCACCTCTATTTGCATGTGTACTACATTTTTAATAGCTGCAGTGTCCCATTATATGAACCATCACTTACTTAACTTACAATTAATGAAAACTTATATTGCATATAATGTTTTTTTGAACCAGGAATCTAACTCAGGACCTTGCACTTATCAGACAAGTGCTTGTGCCACTGAACTATATCCCTGGCCCTTGCATATAATTTTTCATATACATATTCATGCCCATTTTTTTCAGTGCTGAGGACTGATCCCAAGGCCTTTCACATATTTTCATATACTTTCCAAGGTCAAGTATTCTACTAAAGGTCATACCTATTTTAAATTTTCATGCACACTGTCAAATAACTCCAGAAAAGTTGTCCCAATACACATTCTTATTAAAAGTATATGAATGTACATACTTGTTCACATTCTTGCCAGTGTTGAGCACTGCCTAAATATTTTTCCTTGTTTTTTTAACAGGTATGGTAAAATGGCATGTCATTGTTACTTTTACATATATTCCTTTACTATTAAAATGGCAAACATTTTGTATATGTTTAAGGAACAAAAATTGTGCGTGTGTGTACGCGTGTGTGCTCATGGGCATTCTACAGAAGTAACTCAGGGACGCACTCTTGTTAGACAGCTGCCCTACAACTGACCTACATCCCCAGCCTCTTTTAAAATTCTCACTTAAGCTCTTCTGTGAATCTTCACCATTTGCTTATTAACATGAAAGAACCTTTTCTATTTTAAAAATATAAAGTTGACAAACAGTGCAAACATATTTTCTTCCATTTTGTTATTTTTCGTTTTTTACCTTTTGTTTTGGAAGCAGCAATTTTAAATTGGTCTAGATTTCATTTAAGCAAATCAAATTTAACTAAATCTTAGCCACATTCAATTGAAGTGCTAAAGAACCAATGTAAATGCTCAATCCTAATAATGCTTATGGGAATTAGGGGGAAGTTTATTGGGCACTGAACCCAGGGCCCTCATACTGGGCTACACCTCCAAAGCTTTTTTCGTTTCAGAGAGGATCTCAACTAAGTGACTGAACTGCTAAACTGACTAGCTGAGCACTTGCCTCTGCCTCCCAGAATGCTGGGGTTATGGGCATCTGCAACCACACATGGCTAATCCTAATTAGTTTTAGAGTCAAATATAAAATCACTACTAATGATGATTTAGAATTATTTGTCCTATTACAACAAGGAAAAAGAAGAGGATGCTGGCATTTGCTGGTTACCTATATGTTCATTTAATCAGTCTACTCCCCAAACCACTAACGTAAGTTTCTCCAGGTTCTACAACTGGACCTTTGAATCAACTTTTATATAATATCCATTTCCCTGCTGATACTCCATTTCCACTCTAAACCCCAATTCACCTAGCTGGTTACTTGAAAGCCCATCTCTGGCCTTTTTCTCCTGGAGGCTGAATCTCCTTCCCAATGACTTCACTATTACTCAAAAATCTGCCTCAAAATACCCAAAATCTAAAAACTACTAGACTGCTACCTAATGGTTCATTATTATCATTACCTAGAAATTTATGTTATCATATTTTCTCTTTTGGATAATGACCTAAATTTACCTAATTACTAGTCAACTCAATGAACAGTTCCCTCAAATAATAAATAAAATACATGTGATGTATTGTTCGTTGCTTTTTTTTTCCCCCTGGGCATCAATTCTCCCTCTATACTTCTTTTCCCCAACTAATCTTTCACAAGTTCTGATATATTTCATGGTACAATGCTGCCTGGCTTACATGTAATAGTGACAATGTCATTAAAAAAACCAAAAAAACACAATCACTGGAATTATAATTTCTGTGAATGTCATATACATGAAATTATGACAGCCCTGCACAGTGGCGCACATCTGTAATCCCAGCACTTGGGAGGCTGAGGCAGAAGGATCTTTGCAAGTTCGAGACCAGCCTAAGCTACAAAGTGGGCTCAAGGTAAGCCTGAATTGTATAGTGAAACCCTGTCTCAAAAAGACAAAAAAAGTGCTGGCCAGATAGCTCAGCAGACTAAAGCACCTGTTTAGGCAGACAAAGGGATCGGGGTTTAACCCCCAGCATGCCATGCCAACCCCACACTGAGACAGCGATTGAGACTGGGCATGATGGCATGTTCCTGTAATCCCAGCCCTTGGGAGGTTGAAAACAGGAGAATCACTATGAGTCTGATCTGTGTAGTGAGACCCTGTACTAAATACATTAAAAAACAAAAAAAGTCCTGGTGACATAAAAGTTTAATAGGGTATCTTTTAATTATGTGAATTTAGGGGCCGGGGAGATGAATCAGTGGAAGAAGTGCTTTCCTGGCAAGCACAGGGCCTAAGTTCAATCCCCGGTTATGCCAAAAAAAAAAAAAAAAAAGTGAATTTAAAAACATGCATCTAGGGGCTGGGGAGATGGCTCAGTGGATAAGCGCTTCCCTGGCAAGCGTAAGGGCCTGAGTTCAAACCCCAGTTCCACAAAAAAACAGTATCTATCTACCTAAACACCTCCTATTGCTATCCTAGTGTTTTACAGAATACTTTGTCTATTATTTCTTTAAATAGCTCACAAAATGTTTACCAGTCCTTTCCTTTACTACTGTATTAATTTTAGATATCTAAAATATCAGAAACTTGTAAATTTGACCCAAATAACTCATAAAGCTGAAAAGTATCATCTTTAAAATGTGAACTATACAAGGCTAAAAATATTTGGGGGGAGGCCGGGGAAATGGCTCAGGAGGATAAGCACTTCCCTGGCAAGCACAAGGGTCTGAGTTCAATCCCTGGTTCCGCAAAAAAAAAAAAAATAAATAAATAAATATATTTGGATATCCACCAATGATGTAACACATTTAGTGTATCATAGTAACAGGTTGGCCAATATACTGCAATTTATATTTCAATTTACAATGAAAACAGAAATAACTTACAATCATGTGAGATCTGAACATAATCAGAAAAAGAAAAGATACATAAAAAATAATACAAAAGGGAGCCAGAGATATATAGCTCAGTGGCATAATGCCCACCTGGCAAGCACAGGGTCCTAAGTTCAATCCCTAATACTGCAAAAAAAAATTTTTTTGAGACTCATTTTCAGAAGCTTCAAATTAACTGAACTCTCCAGCCTCACCCTTCATATTTCTACACACTTAACCGGCATGCAACACATGTACAATAATAGCCTCATGAATAAAAACAGTTCACTTACAATTGAAAATGTAAAAATGTTTTAATACAGGAAAAAGTGAGGGTACTTACAGATGTCTGGGACATACTTGACTGTTGTGTGACACTTCCTGTGGGGGATGTAGATGGTCTTCCACTGGACAAACTGGCCTAAAACATAAGACCTTTTTATGATGTAACTGTAAAAACCTCAAGTTAGAATCTTCCTGGTACCAAGATAATATAAAGCCACCATATCAAAAAGCAGAGAGGTCTACATATGAAACAACTCATTTTGTGGTCAACATGGCTGAATCTTTAGCCCAACAGATTTCATCAAAAAAAGAAAAGAAAAAGCTAAAAATAGGACCCAACAACTAATCTTACATTACTAGCTATATTCAAGTCAGTTTTACTCTAGAGGTGTCTATCATCTCTGATATGGAATCGCCATACCAACATTACAAAAAAAAAAAAAAAAAAGAAAGCCATCTTCCCGGCCCCACCATGCTATATCCTTTAAAAAATAATAAAAGATAAAAGATGGGCTGGGTAGATAGCTGAGCTGGCTAAGCACCTGCTTGGAAAGCACAAGGACCTGGGTTCAATTCCCAGTACCGCATGGCCCCGGAACCCCAGGTGAGCTGTGCCATCCTGAAACCTGGGGTGGTAGTGCACACCTGTAATCCCAGCACTGGGAAAGCTGAGATAGGAGGATCACTACAAGTCCAAGCTGCAGAGCATGAGCCTGTACCAAGTAAATAAGTAAATAAAAAGATTTTAAAAATAAAAGATTAACTCTAACACAGAGTTTATTCAAACAGTGTTAACATTAGTGAAAATCTTTTTTAAAACATAAGTATTTAACCAATGTTTACAGCAATGAATTCACATTCCAGCCATAAGAAATAAAATCATGCCATTTGCAACAAGGTAGGTGGACTATCATGCTAAGTGAAATAAGCCAAACTCAGAAAGTAAAATATTACATGTCTTCTCTTATATGAGAACCAAAAATATAAATAAGTAAAATGATAAATAAACAAATGAATGAATAAAATAAATTAAAAATGACAGGAAGCCAGAAGGTAAGACTCTTACACATAGGAAAAAAGATCAGGGGAGGTAGGAAGGAAGGGAGAGGTAAAGAGATTGAAAATGATGAAGGTACATTATTTGTATGCACCAATTCCCCAAAATGAACATTATTATTCTATACTACAAACATGTACTAACATAAAAAGATGCATATTTTATTTTTTATACATTTGGTACAGGTCTTACTACACAGCTTGGATTCATAGTGATCCTCCTGTTTTCAGCCTCCCCAACACTGGGATTACAGGTATGCACCACCACGCCTGGTCTCAGTGGCCAGCGCAGCATGCCCAGGGGTGGGGCTAGTGGGGTATGTGGTGCCTGGGATCGAACCCAGGTCCCTGTGCTTGCCTAAGCTATCTGCGCTATCTTACCTGCCCTAAGAAAAACGCACTTAGTCATTATTGTATTAGTAGTAGAAATAATATAGCTGGATTTTACATATTTTTTTATGTATTGTTGAACAGAAAATTTAAGGAGGAATACATATAAACTGTTACAATGGCCACTTCTGAAGCGTGAAAAGCATACTAAGTGACGAAGGAATACCTCTATTTGCCTCTTACAATTTTATACTCTTTGATTTAAAAAAAAAAAATATGTAACTTACGTAATTTTAAAACTTAAATTTTTTTAGTTAAAATAGAAAAGAAATATAATTCACATAACCCTACATTATCATTGTATATCTAGAATTTTAAACACAATACCACAGCACTAGCACGGCATTTCTCTAATTTGGATTAACAGGCAGTTTGACAAGCCAGGTGTGATGGAGGCTGAGGCATGAGGGTTACAAGTTTTTACCTAGCCTGGGCAATATAGTAAGAATGTGCCTCAAGCTAAAAAATAAGGGGTTAGGGATATAGGTCAGTGCAGAGGACTTAGGTTTAATGCCAGTCCTCAGGCAGAAAAAAAGCCATGAGACAAAAGCCAACAATAGTATAACACAGAACCAATAAAAATGGGAGAGGGAACAGGAGGGAGAAGAAAGGGAAAGGAAAAAGAAAAAAAAAAGAATAAAAGGAAAAAAATAGAACAAATATTTTATAAGTGAGAAGGCAAAGAAGGACTGAAAGGGAGTGGGAAAAAAAGTATATTATGTACAGGTGCAAACTCCCTATGATGAATGTAATCACTGTTTGACATTTATGTTCTAATAAATAAAACAATTAAAAAATAGTGACAGGGCCAGCGAGATAGCTCAGTGGTCTAAAGTGCCTCCTTAGGCAAGCTTAGGCAAGCACAGAGACCACGGTTCAATTCCCAGCACTACATGGTGTGGCAGCCCCGCCCCAAGATTGGGCTGAGCCAGCCACAAAAGGAAAAAAAAAAGTGAGACATAAAACATAACCACTTCTTTCCCAATTAACTTCTATTTGGCAGTCTGTTCATGTATTTGCTTCAGGAAAAATACTCACATGATACATGAGAAATCTGAAATAATCACCTGTGTATTTTCAATAATTTTCTGAAGATAATGTAAACTTTGGCCTCATAAATCATTAATTTATTCCAGTCTCACCTGAACGGCAGCAAGGCTCTGGAGCTGGGAGCTGCTCAAATGCTGCTGCTGAAGGGCGGCAGTGTGCAGCATCAGGTGCTGCTGCTGAGCCGCATACATCTGCTGAAGGTACTGAGCAGCTGAGCTGGGGGGGCGATGCAATGCCTGTTGAATTACCTGTGATAAGTCAATTGAACCAATGTCAAATCATAATCTCAACCTTTCTCTCTCCCTTTTTTGTCTTGTATATACACAGTAAGCACATGCTCTATTGCTAAACTACACCCCCTTGCTCAACCTTACTCTTGATCATAAAAATAAAGTATGAAAAAAGCAGTTTAAAAGCTAGGGATGGTTGTGCACTCCTGTAATCCCAGCACCTGAGAGGCTGAGGCAGGAAGATCACTGTGAGTTTGAGGCCAACCTGGCCTGTATCATGGGTTCAAGGCAAGTGTGAACTTCATAGCAAGACCCTGTCTCAACGAACAAAAAAACTTTAAAAAGCAGTTTAAAATTTTACAATTCAAAGTCATCAAGTTTACTGTTGCTGGGGGAGATAGCTCAGTAGCATAAGCATCTGCTTGGCAAGCTGAAGGTCCTGAGTTCAATTTCCAGTACAAAAAGGAAAAGTTAACTATCATATCTTTCTTCTAGTTATATATCATTAGGATTCACTAGTTGTACAAATTAAATTACTAGTTGTACAAATTAAGAAAAAAATTCATAACCCTAGAGCCAAATAAGCAAAGGAGGAAATCTTCAATCTCACTAGTAATCAAAAACTTACAAATTAAAACAAGATACTGTTTTCCAAGTTTAAAATGTGTTGACTTAAAAAGAATACTTATTCTAACTGAGAATGTAAGCCTCCCCACACTATGAGTAAGAATTTAAGTTGGTACCACATTTTTGTATAAAACTTGATAGAATTCAGAAATTAGGTATGAAAATCAGTAATTTTACCATGCAGCCTATTCACATAGTAACATAAATCAGCATTCTTCAATATAGTAGCCACTAGCAATATGACTCTAAGCATTGTTAAAATATAGCTCGTGGAACTATTTTTAACTCTAAACTGAACTTTAATTAATTTTAATGTAATAGCTATAATTATAGCTTGTAGCTGCTACACTGCATAGCACAGATACAGACCTATACTAACAAAAAAAAAAAAAAAAAACCAACTATACAATTAGGTGAAAAAAGCATATTACAAAATAGTTTAGAGTAAGGTACCATTTTTATATTAAAATATTTGAAAGAATACTCAGGAAAGCATTTCTAAAAGACTACTTCTGCTAGAGTAGAAATGATTTTTAGGCTAGGTGTGCTGGTGCACACCTGAATTTCCAGCACTTGGGAGGCTCAGGCAGTGGGATCACCATGAGTTCGAGACCAGCCTGAAGTACATAATGAGACCCTATCTCTCTCTCTCTCTCTCTCTCTCTCTCTCTCTCTCTCTCTCTC